TAAATAGGCAACCAAAAGTTGTACGTGTGACTAGTTGTACTCTTGTTATACTGATGTAATATGTAAGCCAGTCTTCGAATGGCCCACCTGTTTGAACTAATAAAGTGCCAGGGGCCTAAGTGATCACCTCAATATTAAAAAAAAAAAAAAAAAATGGGAGGTTATAGATAATATAGTTGAATTGTTAGAGCCTATACTTATCGCAACAGAATTATTATCCTCAAGCTCATATTCAACTATCTCTGATATTTGTTTAACTTTTTTGGGACTTTATCATCATCTTAGCAAATTTATAGATAATAAATCACAAATTACAGAACAGTATATAATGGCAGATTCTATTAGGTTTAAGCTAAATAAATATTGGTTCATACTTGAAGAATCAACTATAATTACAATTCTTGACCCCTCATCTAAGCTTTTGACTTTTCCTACTAATAATGAAAAGGATACTGCTCTTACTAGTCTAAAAAATACTATAACTCAGTATAACATCCCAGCAACAACTACAACTACAACTATGCCTAAATTGATGCCTAAAAATAAAAGAAAGTTTTTTAAATTATTATTAATACAGCAACAAACAATCAAGCAACTCTTAATGGAGGAGTTATAATACTACTTATTTATGCCAATGATCAGTAAAAGTAATTCTCTTCTATAGTAGGCCGAAGTTTCCAACACTTGCAAAAATAGCATGTAACTTTCTTTCAATCTAAGAAACAAGTGTTCTGTGTAAGGAAGCCTTCTCTACTGCAGCAGAAACACTCACAAAAGTTCATAATTGCCTTGATCCTCAAACTGCTTATGCGTTACTTTGTTTAAAAAGTTGAATTGAACAAAAAGTTGGTATATCAAACTGAAAATAAAAAGGGTTAATAATTTCAAATGAAGAGTTTTTTTTTTTTTTTAGTATTATCTTAGCTATTATATAGATGGTATATATATAGATTTTTTTTTTTTTATACATATCTTAGCATTATACATATAGAAGATATATAGATAGTCAATAAATATTATTTAGAAATCTAATCAGTTACCATTATAAAAATGATTATATATAACTAGGAATAGCAAATGTTTTAAAACACAATTTTAAAAAACATAATTGTTTGATTTAAACCAGTTTTTAAATATACTTTAAAATATTATAACATAATTTTTGTTATTGTAAAAATATGATGCAATTTTTTGTATAAAAATTTTTTCGAAGCAAATATCGTGGAACTTGGTCAGCACAGAAATTAAACAATTAGGCTCTGCTGTTTATGTTTTAAAACATTTTATGTTTTAATTAAACAAATATAAAAATTGGTTTAAACTGTTTTTTTACTATTCCTATATATAACAGTTACACAATATACTTAGAATATTATGCATAAATAAATTATATAACAAGTATATGAAATTCAGAATCAACAAACCCTCTACAACGCAATCTGGTTTCAGAAACTTTTCTAAATACAAGTGTAAAAACAGTAAATTAATAGCTGCTCTTAAATATTATAGCTCAGTACTAATTTAAATTTAAATGAAAATTTAGGTCTTTTAATACTTGCTTTTGATAATAAAGACATCATTAGTATTCTGTCACAATTTTAAATTAAAAAGCTAATTAACTCTACTTATCTAACTTTATTTAAGGTTATGATTACATTAATACTTGAATTATCTACCGGTATATAAAGTTGTTAATGGAGTACTCTAGTCTATAATAAAACATATAACCTATCTCTGGAGTGTTCTGAAGTGGGTTATATGTTTTATTATTGTCTGGAGCACTCCACTAACAATCCTACAGTATGATACTATATTAAATTTCTATAATTATGAGATAGACACCTAAGCTATTACAAATTGCTCTGAATATTATTAGTTTCTGGGAGGCTTGAAAGGTAAACAATTTTTAAGTGTATTAAATATAATTATATTTAAACAAAATCTTTATCTATTCTAGATAGATAGATATTAACAGTATTATAATATGCATTTACAATATTGTTTTTAAGATAAGTTATTCTTTTTGTGAATATTTATTATTTATGAATATAGCTGACTCTAACTAATTAGTTTTTTAAAAATAGGTTATTCACATTCATATTTATTTATTACTACACCAAATTATTATTGGTTTTGTATTACTATTTGGTGAGCAATAAAGATTGAAACCATTCACTATATTTTGCCTTATCAGATTCAACTCTTATATAGAATAAAAAGCTGTATTGGCCAATAAGTAATTGAAAAAAATTTTTTTTGCCTTATCAGATTCAACCCTTATATAATATTGGCTGATAAGTAATTAAAAATTTTTTTTTAATATCTAGCACCAAAAATTTTAATATCAAACGTCAATGTTTTAAATCAATAATAAAAAGTATAAAAATGCTTGAGTAATACTTTATTCACTTTAAATATTTATAAATTCTTGATAAGCCAATACAAAAAAAAAGTGAAATTTTATAAACTGCAGTTTTTAGCTATAGTTTAAACTATAGCTCAAACCGTGGTTTGAAGCTATGGCTTTATAATATTTTAATAATGCAATATTGATATATGAAGCTGGCTAGCCTGGCTTTAGATGGCTTGGCTATAAAACTATAACTAAGCTGGCTTTAATTAAGCCATTAATATCCCTACAAGTTGTAGTTTGATACAAGTTATAGAAAAAAAGTATATTATATCAAATAGCATATGGTACAAAAAAGTAGTTTTTCTCAACAAGAGCAGAGCTAGTAGCAATTTTGGTAGTGCTCTTAGTAATATCTAAAGAAAAAGAAACTAAAATAAAAACAAATAACAATGTAGCTATATTTGCAATTAAAAAAGGACTCAAAGCAAATAAAGCAAGAAATTTGTTAAAGATAATAAATAAAGGTTTAATTGCAACAATTATAGAAATGATTAAAATGAAACAACTAGCTTTGCACTTTATAAAAATTAAGAGCCATTCAGAAGATATTTTTAATAATTTGGCAGATCTTAAAGCCAAAAAAGGTGCTAGTTCCACTAAGTGCTTAACTTCTATAATATTAAGTACAAAAGAATTCAAATTAAAATACAAGTAGGAAAATGAAATTGTAAAAAAACCAATATGTTTTTTTATTAAAATGCTTGAGAAAGTCATAAATAGAGTAGAGTGGATATTTTTATACAACAATCGAAATACAACATATTAAGAAAGAACAAATTTACAGTATTGGCCAATTTTTTACAAGATTTTAGAAAGTGAAACTAAACAATATAATTACATATACAAGTCGAATACAATGTAGCTTTTTAAGTTAAAGTGTATAAACAATAATATTTGTATCAGACCGGACTGAATCAAACTTTACTTAAGTTTGAGTTTAGTTTGATTTTTGAACCAAACTCAGACTTGAACTTTTTTGAAAATTATATTTGGTTCGAGTCTAATATCAAACTTATTTTTTAAGTTCAGTTTGATTTGAAGTTTGGTCCGAAGTTTGTGAACTTGTTCGGGTTCAGTTAGTATTATAGCCGAAAATGTGCACAAGGTTGCACTCTGAATTTGGATGACTACTCCAGATGAGAGATTAGTCATATAACATCAATGTTTCCTCTTGTTGTTAGAATAGTAATATGAACTTTTTCATCCTAATATTAACCATAAAGAGCTGTTATAATGCTCTTATAATATGAACTTTCTTATCTTAACATTAATCATAAAGAGCTATCAGAATGATTTTACAATATGAACTTTTTCATTCTAACATTATCTATTAGAGTTCCAATCTGTTAAGTATATATCTAGATAATTATCAGATATTTGATATCTGGAATTCAAAATTTCTTAATTAATTATTAATTATTAATAGACTTATATACATATGTTTGTAATTTGAAAATATTGTAAATTTTTTGATAAATATATTAATAAAGAAACTTTTTTTTGACAAACCATTTTTTATTTAATAGATTTGTGTTTTAAATAATATGAACTAGATTTCTTAAAAATATTAATATATTGAATAAATCAAAAAAAAAAATTTTACAAATAGAAAACAACTAAAAATCACCGCAGGTGATTATCACTTGTAATTTACAATGTATAAAAAACAATAATTAATTTCTATCAAAACAAAAAAATTAAACCTCTTTAAAATTAGGGTAAGGGTGAATATTAGAGGTTAGAGGTTAGAGTAGAGCATTTTATATAGTAAAATTTAGCAAGAAATTTTTTTTGTTAAAGTTTAAAAAGTAGTTTCATAGACAAAATTTTGAGATATGAGTGTTTTTTAAAAAAATTATTTGTTTTTGTTACACAAAATTGATTTACACGTTACACCTGATCCTGAATTTTAATTGGCAAATTAACTACAGATGATGATCACCTGAGGTGTAAATTAGCAATTTCCTTACAAATATATATTTAATATCTATATGATTAAAAATTATTTATTAATATTATCCTTCCTGTAGTCATTTTGTATAATACTATAAATTTTTAAAAGATGATAAATTAATATTCTTGTTGATCTATTTGAAACTTTTAATCAGGCATTTTACCCGATTTATTAGCTACATTACAAATTCCATATTTAATTTCAATATTATTTTTTTCTTTTTTGAAATATTTTCAGACCCAACTTTGCTTCTTAGAGCTTGCAAATAATTTTTCAAATGGCTAAGATGGTAAGAAGGATTGCAAATTCTCATCTTCTATTATGTTTTGATTAATCTAATTTTATAGAGCATTTGATATGTTTAGTATATTATATAACATTCATAATATTATATTTATTACTATAACATAATATACTTTTATTACTTTAAAGATATTGACAATTGGGGCAAAATTTAATGCTTATTACTTACAGTAAGTATAGAACTATCATAAATCTGATAACTTCGAATTTATATGCTTTTTTTTTAACCCAATACGTAAAAACTATATTAATTTTGTTAATATATATATTCAGGTGACTTATACGTATATATGCATAACTTAATGTTAATCATCCTTTTCAATTTGTGACTTTCTGTTAATATAAATTAAGCAATATATGTGATTATATAATGCTAAGTAGACTACAATCCCGAATATTTATGCATTTATCTGTTGTTCTATTCAGTAAAATAAGATAACATAAAAAATATATTGGGGCAATTGCATAATTTAAATTGGAAACTTGAGACTGCTAAAAAAATAATTGACAATAGTATATTACAAAGCTACAGCAGATTGTCATTTTGCCAGCATCTAAATAAGATATATACTAAAAACAATCTGGTTAAATATAAAAAACAGCCATTAATAAGATAGCTGCGCAAAGCTGTCATGCAAAACTAGCTTACAGTAACTAAATCATACAATTGATATGCAAACCATCTGATTATATATACTCTCTAAATAAAAATTTTTGACCTTTAATTATTAATGCAAAAATAGTTCTTATGACTTAATGCATATACAGTCAATACTGTTTAATTTTATGCTATCTATCGGAGACTCTTTAATGCATATAGACAATATATATATTTAAGTTATAAGAAGCATTTTGCTTTAAGGATTAAAGGTTAAAAATTTTTATGCAGTTGTATAGTATATGCAATTATACAGTATCAAATATATATATATTGTCTAAATGTATA